TTGTAGGCTCGTCTAATAAGGATTGAATAAGATAATAGATAATTTTATTTATTTATTTATTTATTTATTTACTATTTAATCTTGTCTATTCGAATTTAGTATAATAGAAAATTGGATAACTTTAATTTTTGTTGACAAATCGTCCCAAACCGACCGACCCGACCCAACCCGACCGATACTTGATTGAGTTGGGTTGGGTTGAGTTTCAACCTTTACACAAGTTGTGTTGGGTTAAATTTTGATCAAATCGATCATGTTGGGTTGAATTTGAGTTAAGACAAAAACCGATCCGATCCGACCCAACCCATGCCCACCCCTAGTATCGTCAATTGACAACATTGGATTCTTTGTTGTGCTTTGGGGACCTGTTTGGGACGTCTGCCATTTATAACCATCGCTAAAATGCATCTCGAGAGAGCTAAAAAATGAATTGCTTTAAATCTTTATATAGGTCTAGCAACGAAATAAACAAGGTGGCAAAAAGTGATTCACGTGAAGATCTTAATTGTTTGGTAAAAGGAGTTAATTGTTTCAACACTAACTGAACTTTATAAGGTGTCACGTTCCACTAACCGAACTTTAAGTTGCATCATATCACTCACTCAACTTTGTAAACTTGCACTCCATCCCTCATCGGGTCAATTCCGTCCAAAACGTTTGCTTACGTGGACGACGATTTTCACACGTGGCCGTTAAAATACTTAACTGTGCCATGTCATGAACAGAATTTAACACCCAAACACACACCTCACCCATGTGAATTACTTCGCGTGCACATCCCTGAACATCAGTCAGTGCACAGCCAAAATATCAAGAAACATTTTGATCAAAGCAACAAACTCATAATCTGAAATAGAATTAACATTAGAAAGACCCCAAATTATAAGCCAGAATTAACAAAGGCAACATGGAGAAGATTCAGTTTGCTCCCAAAAAAGGTTGAGCCTTCTTCTTCAAGCTCTTTGCAGCAGCCCAAGCCTGCTTTAGGAACATCTTCTACAATGACTCACAGAATAAGCAAGCACTTGCTAGTGTGTCAGGTCCCATCAATGTGGAGATTGAAACGTCCAATACTTCAACTCATGATTCTGTTCCTAATGCCGCTTCTGCTCGACATCAATTATGCAGATGCTTTTGATAAAAGCATTGAAAGTGCTGAGAGATTTAAGAAGTGAAAGTTCTGATTTAGCCACAAAAACATTTTGATTCAATTTTATTTTTGGCGGGTTCATACAATTTGGGTTGGGGTTAACGTTCAAATGTATACTTCATCCCATCGCACGATTTTATGAAGGCGTGTGTTTGGGTGTTAAATTCTGTTCATGGGATGGAGTGCAAGTTTACAAAGTTCAATGAGTGATAGAATGCAACGTAAAGTTTGGTTGGTGGAACATGACACTTTGTAAAGTTTAATTAGTGTTGAAACAATTAACTCTGTGTTTGGGTGTTAAATTTTGTTCATGACATGGCACAGTTAAGTATTTTAACAGCCACGTGTGAAAATCGTCGTCCACGTAAGCAAACGTTATGGACGGAATTGACCCGGTGAGGGATGAAGTGCAAGTTTACAAAGTTGAGTGAGTGATAGGATGCAACTTAAAGTTCGATTAGTGGAACGTGACACCTTGTAAAGTTCAGTTAGTGTTGAAATAATTAACTCTTGGTAAAAGGGTGTATTTATTTTAAATTTTTAAGTACTTATGTACTATGTAGGCTCATTTTTAAAGATTTTTTTGAAGTGACCGACTGTTCATGGACTTCTATAGGTTCTATAAATTTTCAAGTACTTATACAGGTTCTAAGAGGTTC